GTTGAAGTGTGTGAGTTTCTAGTTCTTTCAGTCATAACAGATAGTTGCTGACTGACTGAGCTTGAAATGTAAGAATAAGTGCTCACAGGCAATTATTCAGGTATTTGCAGCTTGATGTGATATGTACTGTTAACTACTAGAAGTGTTCACAGTAGAAAGATAAATGTAGAGATCAATTGTATAATAGCATTCAAGCTGAGTTATGAATAGTATTCGCGAACTCCAGTCTATATAGTTGTGTGTAGCCAAGGGCCGCTAGCTCTATTGATTACACAAGAGATAGGAATAGGGGTAAAGAATCCGCGAGGAGCGGGATTTCTTACAACTTCTGATAGATTTAGACTGAACTAAGTATAGAAATAATACAGATAACATCACCTGTGAGAGATTAAAGAAGAAAATAGTAAAGAGTCTCATACAGCAGCAGTGAGATCAGAAGAAGTCTTAAGAATGATTTGAGTTCAAGATAAAGAGAGAGAGAGAGAAGAAAAGTGTTACTGTAAATAAGCAGTAATAGAAGAAGATTAAGAGAGTATTAAAGTGAGAGATAAAGAAGTCAAAACTGATAAGTTTTTTACTTATTAAGAGATAATAATTTTTGATAATACTTCTGTGCTCTAATTGATTAGCAGAAGCTGATAGAGAAGAAGAGAATTGAGATCTTATTCAGGTCTCAAATGCACTTCATGATTCAGAATATTGAGAAGACAGCCCTGCTCTCTGAGCATGTTAATCTGCTTATCACTGAGATGAAACCTGAGACAGCAGATCAGAAAATGCAGGATTTTAAGATACAGATTGATCTGACTAAAAGAGAGCAGCAGAAACTCTTCTCTGAGAAGATAGTGAAGAGTGATTTTGAGATGATTATCATCTCAGATGAGAAGAAGAAGAAGAATAAGAAGAATAAGAAGTGAATTATAAAGAATAATAAGAAGAATGAGAAAGAGAAGAAGTAGATTTTTTTCTTTTTATATTAGTTAGTTATAAGTTTAAGTTTTTAATTATTAATAATTAAAATTGATTTTGAGTTTTCAAAAATTATTGTATAAGTTATAATCAAGTCAGAAATGATATATATATATATATATATATTTAACTATCATAATTCACAAATCACTATAATGTATAAGTATCAACATTTTTTCAATATTAATATTCATAATATTAATATATTTTTAATAATATTATTTAATAATGTAATTTGATAACACTCTCTTTTACAATATTAATATATTTCAAGAAATATGACAGAGATTCATCAAGATTGTTTATTTACTTTTATATATCAATGATATTCAATCTGAGTTAGTACTAAAATTATAACTAAGCTAAGAAATAAGATTATTTTCTCTTATATTAATTATTCTTACACACATCAGTGATCAGTTATTGAAAATAAATTATCATCTTTCTCAAATTATTATCATATCTTCTGAATTCACTTCTTTCACTTCTTTTACTTCTATTGAAGATTCATAAACTCTTTGAGAAATCACTGTGAATCACAAAGTCTATATTATTTACAATTCAACACAGAATGCTCTCTTTCAATTATAATAAATAATCACTTCATTCTTCACATCTGATTCCAGGTCATAAAATTTATGAAAAACTCAATACAAACATTGAGATGAACTATGAAATAATTATTAACAGATTGTATTATAGATTACTGAAGAGTCATCTCTCTGCTACAATCACTACAACTTTATTCAGAAACATTCATTATAAATTAATTATCACTCTGAAGAAATTTTCTGACATCTGAAGTCATCAGAATGCAGATAATAAAAGAAAAATAATTAGAAAATTACTACTGAGCTGATAAGTTACTCTATCAGATAATAATTTTTGATAACACTAACTTTCTAATTTGAAGAAAATTATGTGAAAACAATCATGTATCAGTACTCTGATTTCACAACTCTCATCTGATAACTTTCATGAATAATTACTTTATATATATATATCTCTGAATCTTTCTCTTCAATCAATTGAAAATTCTGAATTCTGAACACTTCTTCAAATACTTAATTCAAATCTTCATATTTCACATTGATTCTGTCTTCAGTTCAATCTTGAGATATACTACAAAGTCAATATACAACATCTAGAATCAGAGTTGAAGAATTATCAAAGAGTGTCTCTTACAGTGAATACATGAACTAGTATAAACAATCTTACATTTATAAGAGTTACATGTTATTACATTGATGAGAACTGAACTTATTAAGAGATATTAATTAAATTTGAATCATTGATCAGTAGTTATACTGAGAATTATATAACAGAGATATTAATGACTGTGATTAAAAATGACTATTGAGATATTAGTCTCAGTCTTCTTACAATTACAACTGATAATGCTGTGAATAACTACATTATGATGAAGAGCTTGAAGTAAAAATTAGCTTTGCATTTCTGAAATGATAAACAAGATCATATTTTCTGCATTGCTTATATAATTCAACTTATGATACAAACACTGATAAAGAATCTTAACATTGAGATGAAGAATAATGAGATGACTGGTTCTTGAGATGAGAATGAGATAAAAGTGATTACTCAAGTAACTTTTGCATTCACTTTGTAAAAGATAATGTTTTTTAACAACACTTTTTAATATTGCTTTTTAATAATGCTTTTTAGTAATACTTTTTGATAATACTACTGTTAATTTTGAATAGATTGACTAATAATTTAAATATCACAGATTTGAAACATTGCTAATGTGATTTATATCTTCTCTAAATAACAATAATGATTTCATGATATTCAATAAATAAACAAATCAGTCACATCACTGAATATGATACAGAATGTTAAAATACAGTGAAGTTCAACATATAAGATAACTGTTCAGACTCTTTAATTATGTCAGATAATTGATCATTGAGTGCAACACTCTGATTAGAAAAAGATTCAGATATTGAAACTTTCTGATATAAAGTGAACTCAGTTAAAATATGTGATTGATTTACTGTTTCAGTTTTATAAGATAATAAAGACAGTCTCAATCACTTGTACATTAATGCTGCAGTCAGTCTGATGAGTGTATAACAGTTTATTTACTCATCTTAAGAAGCAGTTGAATCACTCAAAAAGAAATTCAGTCTGAGATAATGTTATAGTGCAGACTATTATTACTGTAAGAAATAAACTGATATATTACTACAGTAAAACTGAACAATCTTTTACAGAGTACTATGCTATAGCAGCTCTACTAGATTTCTTCTGTTAAGTTAATATCTACACTTCTCAAGATTGAACAGAGAAGAAATGAGACTTGTATGTTAAATTAGTCTGAGACTACTACAATATCAACTATCAGAGATTTGAATGAGCAGATGTTTAAGATATGAAGACAGTGAAATACAATTCTCTAATAAGTAATGATCTTTGATAATGCTTCATATCTTATAGAACTATAATACTAACTTTGAAACAGAACTTGCATACATTGATTACAACTGAAAATCAGGCAAAACTATATACTTATAAAACTGAATTTGACTGCTATCTTCAAGATAATCTGATGAATTTACATGTTAAATCAATTCTAGAGTTATGAAAAATTGTTGAGAGTATATATTCAACTGTTGCACTGATGATATGTGATATTCTGACAATTTCATTAATAGAGATGAGAATGAAGTGAAAGTTCAACTCAAGTTGAGATATTTATCACTATCACTGAGAACAATTATAAGAAGAAATAATCAAGAAACTCATGATTGTAAAACATAGAATTATCAGACAGTTTAATATCTCTGATCACAGTATATTAGAGAAGTGTAGTTTTCATGAAAAAGTGAAGAATAAACTTGTACAAGAATGTATTTAGTTGTTTCATGAGTATTATTAATAATCATTATCAAATTCTGATTATATAAGCAATCACTGAATAAACTGAATGAGACTGATTTTGATCTTCAGTCTCAGTCTTATTCTGATTTTGAAAGAATGATCATCTTTCACAGTTTATTCTGAGAAATTACTCTCATTTCACTGTTCTTGAATTAAATCTGGTCATTTTTCACATCATTTCTCTCAGAAATGATTCATTTTCAGATTTTTTTAAGGCTTGATTTTGGTGAGACTCACATCAAGAAATGTATGAGATCAGATTAAATGAGATTAAATGTGAAATTCATGGTCCCGCCGGTCAGTCTATATAATACTCACTTTTCATAAGTCATATTTCATTTAAGAGAGAGAGAAAAAGATGTGACTGTTATTTTATTAAGAGAGAATGAATAATTAGTAATATTAAATATAATTTAATTCTTCTATGTTTAAAATTTAATTAGTCTATACTCTTTAATTTAAGAGTTTTTAAAAGTGTTTTAATAGTTTTCATATCAGCTTGAACTTAGTGATGAGTTGAAGAAGAAGAGAAAAGAGAGAAGAAAGAAATAAGAATAACTTATCTTTATAATATAAAAATAGAGAATTACTGTAATTATTTACTCTAGTAATAAAAATCTGTTTTCTGTATATATCTCTAATATAGATTATATAATAACTGTATATAAAGAATATTAACAGTGTATATATTAAATGAAGATAATATTACTATATAACACTGTAGCTGTTTCTGTACATCTCTGAAAGCTGTTAATATTTTCTTTAAGTCTCTTTATATTTAATAAGTCAGTAATATATTTTAATACACTCTCTCTTCTATTATTATTATTATTATTATCACTATTATTATTATTATCACTATTATTATTATTATTATTATTATTATTATTATTATTATTATTATTATTATTATTATTATATTATTTCCGATCATTTCTTCTGTCTTTATCTCTCTTTAATACTCACTGAAATTAATTATATCATCTCTTTTCAAATATTCTGCAGTTCTGCAGATTATCAAGGCATATAAGTACTGTTACAGATTAAAGAAAGAGAAGAAGAAGATGTTTAAGTAAGAGAAAATAGATTGTAAGATATATTATAATATCTTAAAGAGACTCTGTAAGAGACTCTGTAAGAGAGTAGAATAATAATGATTTTAAGTAACACTTCTAATAGATTTAGACTGAACTAAGTATAGAAATAATATGAATAACACTACTTATAAGAGATTGAAGAAGAAGATAATGAAGAGTCTTATATAGTAGTAGTAAGATTAGAAGAAGTTCTGAGAATTATTTAAGATTAAGATAAAGAGAGAAAGAGAGAAGAAGAGTATTACTATAAATAAGTAATAATAGAAGAAGATTAAGAGAGTATTAAAGTAAGAGATAAAGAAGTTAAAACTGATAAGTTTTTTATTTATTAAAAGATAATGATTTTTAATAATACTTCTATTCTCTAATTAATTAGCAGAAGTTGACAGAGAAGAAGAGAATTAAGATCTTATTCAGATCTTAAATACACTTCATAATTTAAAATATTAAGAAGACAGCTCTGCTTTCTGAGTATATTAATCTACTTATTACTGAAGTGAAATCTGAGACAGCAGATTAGAAAATGTGAGATTTTAAGATATAAATTAATCTAATTAAGAGAAAGCAGTGAGAACTCTTCTCTGAGAAGATAGTGAAGAGAGATTTTGAGATAATTATTATCTCAGATGAGAAGAAGAAGTAGACTGATTACTGAGATTATGAATTTCATGTTTAGTTTCATTTGATCTTGTAAGAAATCCCGCTTCTTGCGGATTCTTTACCTCTATTCCTATCTCTCGCGTAATCAATAGGGCTAGCGGCCCTTGGCTACACATCACTATATAGACTGGAGTTTGCAAATACTATTCACAACTCAGCTTGAATACTATTATACATTTAATCTCTACATTCTATCTTTCTACTGTGAATACTTCTAGTAGTTAACAGTACATATCATGTCAAGCTGCAAACACCTGAATAATCATCTGTAAGCACTTATTCTTACATTT